AGACATGTTCAGAAGATGACTTTACCTCAGCCAAACACTGTTACAGCAGTGACCAGGCCCCCAAGAACGCAGTGAGTAAAACATCCAAACCTTCATTCACCATCTTGATGTTACAACATTTACACTTTATTGTGTTTGCTGGAACAGACTGTTTATGTCCTCCTACAGTATCTGTTTGCAGGGGAACACCTCAACCTGACAGCCATGATGAACACTTGGACTTTACAGAAAGGGATTCCTCTGGTGACTGTAACCAGGAAGGGGCCTCGTCTGCTTCTTCGACAGGATCGATTTCTGAGGACAGTTCATCCCTCTGATCCTCAGTGGCAAGCTGTGCAACAGGGGTAACTTCACAGCTATTAGCAGCGCAATGTGCCTTTCTCAGTTTGGGTTTATTTTGTAAAATGAACACAATTTGAGGTTTACATGCATCTTTTTTAATAGCTTCCTGTGGCATATTCCTCTGACATACAAGACTGATATTTCCAGCACCATCCACAGACATATGATGACTTCTCCCACAGGTAGGAAATAAAAAAGCATCCAATATGAAATTCTGTTGTTTTTAACTTGGTAATAACTCAATACTTGCTTTTTTTATATAGACAGTGTACACATAGGAGAAGAAGCCAGCTGGGTGAAAATAAACTCAGATATGACCGGCTATTACGTGGTTCATTATGCTGATGATGGTTGGGATGTGATGGCTAAACTACTGCGGGAAAATCACACAGCTCTGAGCTACAAGGACAGGACTCACTTGATACACAATGCATTTCAGCTGGTCACGTAAGGAAGCATGTTTGCACATTTTAAATAATAGGAATACTTCCTGTATGCCTGCAAAGAAACTAAAAATGTTTGTTTTCTATCTTTGTAAAGAGCGGGGCACCTCCCACTTAACAAAGCTTTGGACCTGATTGGTTATCTGCAACTTGAGAAACACACAGTGCCTCTCCTTCAAGGACTGGCTTATCTGGAAGTTTTCTACCACATTATCGAGAAGAGAGATGAGCCCACTTTAACTAAAAACCTGGAAGTAAGAGAGCAACACATAAAAGTATTTCCTAAACGTTAAATTATCTGAATGTGACTGTTTTTCTGTCTCTGAGCAGAAGTACATCCTGCAGTTTTTCCGTGCCGTCATCGACCAGCAGACATGGAGTGACAGCGGCACTGTGTCTGAGCGACGCCTGAGGTCGGAGGTCCTGTCTCTGGCTTGTCACCTGGAATACCCACCGTGTCTGGAGCGTGCAAACCAACATTTCAAAGACTGGCTCCATTCCAACGGAACATTAAAGTTTGTTTGAGTCAAACTATCACAAAATGCTATTCTATGCACACCACTCACTTCATTAAAAATTTCTCAGAGATTTTGGTCCATATTGACATGACACCTTATCACATTCGCTCTGGATTTGTGGGTTGTATATCCATGATGTGAATCTCCTTTTCCGCCACTGAAGGAGCTCTGTAGCAGTGAGATCTGGTGACTGCTGCGGCTCTGGGAGCACAGTGACCTTAATGTCATGTTGTTAGTTTTTGAGGTTTGAGATTGGTGACATGGCACAGTATATGTGTTAAAGGGGTATGAACAGCAACAGTATTCAGGTTGGCAGCCTTAATAGTCGACACAAGATAGAATGGAACATAAAACAACATGCTTTCATGTTGTTCATGACAAATTATGGCCCTAAAATCTGAACATTTCAGCCTTATCTAACACTCATTGGACCAGGCTTCCAATCTTTTATTGCCCAATTTTACATATAATTTCAGCCTCAGCTTCCTCTTCTTACCTGACTGGATTTGCACCTATTAGCTCCTATACATCCACTGCTTCTGGGTTGATACATTTGCATTCAAATATGGTACTCGGCATATATTAGTATTAACAAGTGGCTGTTTGAGTTTCTTCTGCTTGACAACCATGTTAAGTGCAAAGTCACTTCAGTCTCTAACTTAACTGTCTGTGCTTTTGTTCACTAAAGCTTACCTACAGATGTGGCAGAGACAGTGTTCTCAGTGGGGGCTCAGGATGACCATGGCTGGACCTCGCTCCTAAACACGTACAAGATTTCCCTCTCTGAAGCGCAGAAAAATAAGATCCTCTTTGCTTTGTCAACGACCAAAGACACAGACAAGCTGCAAAGGTGCTGGAGGCCTTTTTCTTGCTTTTTTTACAAACTGATTGTGCTGCCATCTTGTGGCAAAATAATTATACTCATCACTGTGCAGCTGCTTTTGTTTATATCAATGGTTCCGAACCCTGGTCATCAGGGTCTACTGTCCTGCATGCTTTAGATGTGTTCCTGCTACAGCACACCTGCCTCAAATGACTGAATTACCTCTTTAGTGGTGTGCCTTGTCTGCAGCAACAAGGAAACACTTAAAGCCAGACTTTGAGGGTTGGTGTTCTACAGCTTTTAGATGTGTTTCTCCTTAAAAACACCTCAGCCAAATAATCAGATCACCAGGACTCCAGAGAACCTAACTGCATGCCAAGAAGGAAATTCAGTCATTTGATTCAGGATGCAGGACCTCAAGGCCTGGATTTGAAAAGCCCTGACCTAAAACATGCAAGACAGTGGGCCCTGAGGACCAGGGTTGGGGAGCTCTGCTTTAGAATACACAAACGTTGAGTAAAGCTTGGTGTCATAAATGCTGGTCTTGTGTATATTTATTTTGCAGACTGCTGGCAATGGGTCTGGAAGGAGAGGTGATCCGATCACAGGACCTGTCTCATGTTGTTTGGATGGTGGCCCGTAATCCAAAGGGACTTTATCTCGCCTGGAACTTTGTCAAACAGAACTGGGACACATTGGTTGAAAAGTCAGTATGACTCATTTTCAAAACATGTGATGCCATCAAGGTGCCCCTCTTGTTTTTTTCTAGGAGCTGCTTTTTGCCCATCAAGCATCTCAGATGAATGATCTCTAAACCTATTTGCACTACAGTCCATTATTTGCTGGAGCAGACTTGGGGTTTATTACTCTTAAGTTTTTGGATTTCTGATACATTCCTCCTTTCTTTCTTATATACAGGTTTCAGTTAGGCTCCTCCTGCATCAGGACCATGATTGTTGGGACCACAGGGCAGTTTTCATCTCCAGAGGAGCTCACTGAAGTAAATTAATCTTTAGTAATCTTTTGATACCTTTGTGTATTATAGAATGTAATAACTTTATTTTAAAGATTATTATTATTATTATTATTATTATTATTATTATTATTATTATTATTATTATTATTATTATTATTATTATGCAGATTTTCATATTAAATTGACTTCAGATACAAAGTAATTGCAAGTAGAAATTGGTCATTCTGTGGGAAAGCATTTACTTGGACTAGTCCTTGGTGGAACTTGTTGAGCCTGTCTTGAGTCTAATTCCTGAACATAAACTAAGCTGAAAACTTGTTGTGAAGCTAATTATTTAGGTAATTTATCTCTACATGTGTTTTGTCCCTAAGGTGCAGTTGTTTTTTGAATCCATCAAAGAGCAGTCTTCTCAGCTGAGAGCAACACAACTTGCCTTGGAAAATGTGCAGAAGAATATTCGCTGGGTTCAGAGGAACTTGGAAACACTGAGAAACTGGCTGAATGAGCAGATGAAATGACAGCTATCTGGGGAGAAAAAAAGCATCAAATATTTTTGAGAATTTTTGAAAGTGAAACCTATATTTTAGGTAATGAAACAGTTTTGTAAATGGGAAATTGTAAATGTCTGGAATGTTTTTTGTTAGAGTAAAAGAGTTATATGGGAGATGACAGGATGTGGGTATCATGGACTTTTTGTTGTCATTGTGTTTCAAAGAGAAAGCAAAGTTAATTATTAGAAAATAAATGGATTCACTACAACTTGTTGCATCTTTTTTGTGTTGTTTTAACTGGGGTTTATATTTTAAAAGCAAAGGCACTCGAATCAAAGATATACTATAGATTATACTATATATACTATAAAAATAGTAATACTGAAAAAAAATTAATAATATAGGATTATCAATTAATGTTCTGCTCAAAGATGAAAAATGATCAAATTTATGACAAATTAAGCATAAACAAGTATAAAAGCTATATTCTATATTGATCTTCAATTTTGACAAATACCTAGTAAACAAACCTGCCTGCCATTAGAGATGGATTGTTGCATATTTTTGGTGAAAATGGTCGACGGTAACCCACTGTTTCAACGCAAACCCTGCAGATGCTAAACAAATACAGTAACTACTCAGGCACATTTGTACGTATAGCGTGCTAGCTCCGCCCCCGGACAGTATCATCCAATTAGATGTTATCCCTGCAACTTGACGGAACGTTGTCAACAACTGGTCGGGATTGGAGGAAAACTGTCATTTAATCCAACTGTAGCTGGCCTAAGACTTTGAATTGAGATTTGTTTTCGCGGTTTTAAGTAGCTAAGTACAAAGACAAATCTATTCTGTTTACCCGTTTTCCTTAAAAAGCAAACCATGAGGGGTAAAGTTGGGAGCGGCTAACATTAGTCGTCTGAATGCTGTTCAGTCTGTGACAGTGGGGGGAAGCTGCTGATACTGACTGTGAGCCTGCGGTGGGTTGTGGCTAGCCAGAAAACATCGCCTTGGTCCTCGGTCGGACGTCCTTGAACGTCCAGAGTTTTCCCAGTTCTTTCTGGACAAGAGGGAGTCTTTCAGATAAATCACCATGGATTTGTTTGACAGTAACAATGCAGGTAAGGACGGAAGATGGTGAGTAGCAGTGTCTTTAGCTACCAGCAGCAGGCCAGCTAATGACTGTCGTGTCGGTGTGTTTCGGTGACACGGTGACAGCTACATTAACTGACTTTGCTGGATGCTAAGCAGACTAAATATGATGAGCTAAACAACGTTGTGATTAGGATTTATAAGATGGCTTATGAAACAAAAGCAGGAAATTGTTTTCCTGTTCAAAGTGAAAGTACTGCTGCGGTGTTTACTCAGGTTGAAGCCTATTAGTTTATAACTGGAAATGTTTTATAAAGAGTTATAAAATAGTTTCAAACCACTTATATTGTCCCTGGGCGTTATTAAAGCAAACAGTGCATCAGCTATAAAGCAAACTGTGAAAAAAAAAAAATCAGTTTTTTCAAAACTTACCTATTTTGTTTATCTCTGACAGATCTTGGTTGTGAGTTTGTCTCTTTTTTTTTCGACACAAGAGCAAACTTGTATGTCACAATCAGATTTTTGATCAGACAGTGAAAGAATGTCAAAACCAACCTCTAACTACTCTAACCTTTGCTCTGCAGAGATGTGGTGTTTATGTTGTGTGTTCATGAGCTGAACATAGGAACAAACTGTAGCTACTGATCCATATGTAACTGTGGATTATTGTAAAAGTAATCATACCCTTCTAGGTTTTCCACATTTTTTCACTTTAAAACAATAATTTTGAACATATATTGGAGGTGATTATGTTATATAAATAGACACAAAGTCGTGTGTTTCCGTAGAGAAAGGAAACGCCTCTATCTATTGCTGCATCCATCGTCTCATCAACTCTTAACCAACTTCCTGGTCTCAGCTGAATGCCCTACAGCATGATGCTGCTGCCGCCAGTATGTTTTACAGTTCTGCATTGAGAAAATTATACAGTTATGCGTGTTGGTGTATTGCAAACCTCTCTCCCCTCCAAATAAAATGCATCATAGTTTGTGGTCACAATGTGGTCAAATGTTAAAGCAGCATGAATACATTTGCTAGGTTTGACAGTAAGAGTAACAATGCTAAATGTTTTGAGTAACACGAAAGCCACAAGCAGCAATATTGGCACACATAGGCCAATATGTAAACTATATTGGCCTAGTTTGGCAATAAACCGATTCACTCCCTCTCACACTCAAACATGTCTTTTTGGTTACATTTATTGCATTTTACAGTGATAATATAGCAATACCGCACAGGTGTTAAAAGTCATCAAATCCATAGCATAATGTGACTGACTGGCTATTATTTTTGTCATAAACTCTTCTGGACATTACACAGCACTGAGCTACTTAGTGTGGAAAACACCACTAGTTCACTGTACAGTGCCCTGTAGGCCTGTCCGGACTGTGATTGGCCCATCAGCCTTTCAATCATAGTTGACAGCATCTTATCAGAGCCTTAATGTGTTAGAACTTTCTAGAATGGTTTTTTCTTTTCTTTTTTTTTCAGTAGTAGTTTTTCTTGCAGTAGTTCAACAGCCTAGCAACTGTATTATTAAAGAAGAGTTTTAAGTTTGAAGTTTACTGATTGCTCAGTTTGTTTGCATCAAGAATTGTAACTGGAGTGACAATAAAGAAGCTACATCTTTGGACGGATGCCTGCAGTCTTTTCTATTTGGATACAAATCACCACGCCCGTTAGTTCACTTAGCTCCTTGCCTATTAATAGACGTTCATGCCACAGCAGCGTTGTCCAGACAGAGAGACTGTGTTGAAGTCATATCAGAAACACTATAACTAAGCAAACACAGACTCAGATGATACTGCTTTCACTTGCCTTGGCTGCTGACATATTTTTGTGGAGTTAAACCCCAGCTGTGTTTGTTGCCATCAGCTTAAAGTGAACAGTGTGTCTTTAGAAGGTGTTTACAGTTTCTGCTTTCCACTCGCATCCATCAGATTTATAATACAATGCCCTGCTCATCACCTATAAAAGCATGGCTAGATTGTCAGGACACAGTGCACAGTATCTTAGTTATGGAGTTATTGAATTAGGAAGCCGAACATGCTTCTGATTGTTTCACAAATTACTTTGGGAGTAAAGAGTCTGTCTGGCCGAAAATGGCACCCGTTTAGTAAGACAAAGCTTTATTCTTTTCCTGTTGCTGAAGATGCATTTTGGTTTGAGGAAGTGAAGGTTTTTTCCGTTCAGGCTTTGCACATGACGAATCAAAGACGGTGAATCTGTTGCTTGTGCTTCAGCAATCGAGGCGTAACCGCTGTACGGCTCTGTAGTTGCTCGATTTTGTGCAGCTAAATAAACCACCTCAGTGAGATTTGTTCAGTGATAACCATCTTAATTATTTGCGAACTGAAATGTCTGTGCAGGTTGGCAAACCTGTTTTATCTAGGTCAAGGTGCCACAAAGCTGGGGGGGGGAAAGGTAGAAAGCATACCTTTAACTAACAGGAAACTGTAGAAATGGTGAAGCAAGTGTTCATATTAATACTGCATATATGTCACCATGTTATGAGAAAATTCAGCCCTCAAAGTCTGCAAACATAAACAGATCAAACTCACTTTGTGTTCTGCTTGGGTACACCTCTCTCACACACGGCTCAATTTCCCGTTCGAGAATCATTTGTTTTCTTTTCTTTGTGCTTCGCAGAGCGAGCTAACCTGCCGAGGAACATGATCGAGAACAGCATGTTTGAAGAAGAGCCTGATGTGGTGGATCTGGCCAAAGACTCCAACACGTTTCCAGTATGCCGGTTCATATTTTCATCATTGAAAAAAGCTAAAATTACACATTTCGTGACATGATCTAGTTGTTACCAAACAGATGTGCTGGTGAATATGATGAATGTTTGTAACAGTTTGCCAAACAGCATAATGCCCCCCTCCTGTTGTTTTTATTTATGAATTTACACTGGGACTCGATCCTGTGTTGCCTTGCAGAAGCTTTCACTTAAAACCAAAACCTTCAACATATTTTCTTGGTATTTTACGTGAGAGACTAACACAAAGATGTGCGTTCTTGCAAAGCAGGATGAAAATGATACCAATGTTGCATGTATTTCTTTTCAACACCCTCTCCCCCCCTGGGGGCAGTACTTTGCAGAACTCACTTTCACAGTAAGATATGTAAATCTTTTAGTCTCTGCAGAGTGAAGTTTTTCCCCATTCTTGTTTGCAAAACAGTTTAAGCTCAATGAGTTTTGATGGGAGATGTCTGT